ATATCTTTATTAATTTCAGAGAGAGGAAGGGAGAGGGAGGGATAGAAACATCAATGATGAGAGAATCATTGATCAGCTGCCTCGTGCACACCCCATGACTGGGGATCAAGCCCACAACCTGGGCATGTGCCCCGACCGGGAATCAAACCCCAATCGCCTGGATCCTAGGTCAATGCTCAACCGCTGAGCTGCGCCTGGCTGGACCTAATCTGCTAACATATAAAAATGCAAGCTGCACAAACATGTTCCTGAATATATTACCTCTTGTCACCTTCTGTTCTAAATAAAACCCCAAGTTATATGTTGCAAGACAAAAATATTACAAGTACAAACGAAACTGCTTTCTGCTGAACTTAAAATAAAGATAATGACTGTGTTGTTTATATGGATTATAAAAACAACAGCTACAACAATTAATTTTATTCAGTGCATACTGCATGAGAGGCACTGTTCTAAGCACATTATGGGCATGTAATCCCAAACAATTCTATGAAGTAGGTGATTATCCCCACTTTACAGATGGGAAAAATGAAGCACAGGGAGGTGAAACCACTTGCCTACAATACATATATATATCTAGTAAGTGGTGCAGGCTGGATTAACCTCAGGCAGTCTGGCCAGCGTGCCCTGCTCCCTCATGCTGGAGAGCAGAGATGCTCCCTGGTGCACACAGGGAGCCACCTGGGGACTGCACTCCTGGAGGAACAAGTCCTTCGCTGTCTGTGCCTTGGCTGCACGCTCTGTGCGGAATGCCTTTATCTCCTTTGTCTACCTGGCAAACTCCTACACATCTGCACCACTCTGCTTTTAGCCTTCACTGTGACTGGGCACACACACGCACTTGAGGCAAACAGTGAGATTTCAGATAACAGTTATTCAGTAACTCCTAAGTTGTTAAGTATTGATGTTTAAACAGTATTAGCCTTACAAAGAGATTCAAAGCAGATTTTCTTTCCAGAGTAAGCTCCCTGAGTTAATTTACACTATGATTTTATTTATGATATTGTGATTTGCATTTACTTAGGACTACATTACATACAATGATACAGTAAGTATCTGTAGACTGTCTGAGCTGGGCTGCACCGCGTCGCTTAGATAACTTCATACATCTCAATAGAGGCAAGCTGCTGTTTTTCCTCGACCCAGTTCCCTAAAGTGGGATAGAATCCGAACCAACTGTGATCAGAGCCATCTGGCTGCTTATGTCACACATCGCCCAGACACACAGGACGCTGGATGTGATGCTCCAGGTGAGCATAGCCAGCTTACTTGTTAATATTGCTGCCTTCTTTCAGTCGCTCTCCGGCGGCTCCTGTTTTGGATACTCTTTCACTCCCAGCCAGGTCTACCAAGCTGACCTTACTGACTTTCTCTCCAGAGTTCTAGTTGTAGGAAACAAGAGAAACAACACACGTGAATGCAAGAACCACACAGACACAGATTTCTACACATATGTCAGCACTATAACTGAGAGCAACCCGGGCAGCCATCCTCTACGAGGAGACAAACTTCTCAAAAAGATTTGAAACAGTAAGAGGAGTAATTTGGACTAGCAATTTCATAGTCAAAATTTAAATTGTTGTGGTTCTGTAGCTGGGGAGGAAGTACACTTGGCTTTCCCGAATATAGCCAGGAAGCTAGAGATTTTATGTGCCTATGAGGAATTACTAGGACACGAGGATTCCTGTGCATTCAGGTCAAACTCTTCTTCTTCTGAGAAAATGCTCTTTAGGCTAAATGCTGTGGTTTCCTCTTTAATATCCCTTAATGACAATGAGGTAGACTCAGATGCTTTTAGGTGAATTTCGGTATGAAGGGATACGTATTAAAAGGTGTCTGGTCACATCAGCATGCTCTTCAGGGAGTTCCACAAGAAAGTCAATTAAAAAGAAGTTATATATTAAGGAAGGCCTAAGAAATTAAATGATTCAAGCAAGGTAGCTCATCTAGTAAGTAGAAGAGCCAGCACAGAATTCTCAGCTGTCGAACCCAACCACGAAACACATCGCCCATGCAGGTATTTCGAGATCTTTTACTGCTCACAAAGGGCCTGCCCAGTCCCTCACCCCGGACTGCAAGTCGTAAAGTGTCTGCGTGACTATGATGTTGAACACAGCATGGGAGCGGCTACTTTCTTCATTCATGTTGGTCGCAGCTACTGTGCGAGACTTATTTCCCTCAGACATCAGTGACTCAATATCCTAGAGGCAAAGCGTAAGGAAAATATTATAAGCAAAAACATGTGAACACCGTCCTGCCCACCAGGTGTATGTATTAATTATGATCCTTTGACGCACTGGCCACCACCCTTCCATAAAAACCTCCGTCTCTCCTTCACAGCAATGGTTCAGCTTCCACCTCCCTCAGTGCTTTTTGGTGTATAAAACGTTTCCCCCATTCTTTCTCAACTGCGATTGTCTTCTTTCTCTGTTAACTACCTAGTTTTTCCTTTGCAAGTTCCTAGGGAAGAAAAGCGCTAATATTTACTGAGCATCCCAGATACTTAGGAACAGTGACTACCTTGTTTTATTCTAATTCTCTGTGTAGCTATCTCCTGCTCACGTATTTGCCCCTGTCCTCCAACACCATGGCTCTCCAGGGAATTTTCCTTATTCACCTTTGTACACCTGCCTTACACCCTAGGAACCTATGGATTCTTATACATGATTTGATGAATAAACCTCATAAAGAAGGTATTCTCATGATTTTACACACAAGGACACTGAGGTTTGTGAAGGTCAAATAACTTTTCCCACATCTAATAGGAAGCAGAACTGGGACACAAATCATAAGCACCCTGGCTTTTATTAATAAGTGACAGGATGAGATAGACACTGACACCAACCACGCTGAGTTGGCTTAGCACCTTTATGTCAGAGAGGTCTCCATTCAAGAATCCAAGTGTTTTTAAAGTAATGACTACACTGTATTTCTGATTTAAGCAATACAAAACATGTCTTCACTTATTTTTTAATTTTTAAAACATTTTCAATGACAGTTGATATGCAATATAGTATTAGCTTCACGTGTACACAAAGTGATCAGACATTTTTAGAACGTACGACGTGATCGCTTCAACAAGTCTAGTGCTCATCTGAAAAATGTCTCTGTTTAAATGGTTAGAGAGCTACCTCACGGATTAACTTTAGTCATAACGAGTGAGCATGACTCAGTATAGGGGTGCATTCGTTCATTCATTGGCTTTTTTCAGCAACAGACAGCAGCTTGTGTTATGAGATTTCCAAAGCAATGACAGCAAAAACAAGGGCAAAACATCAAGCCAGGATGTAAGAAGGCATAAAAATCAAGAAGGAGGAACATGGAAAGAGGACTGACTCAAAAAAACAGAAGAAACAGAAGAATGAAAAGTAATGGAAACTAAGGCAGGGGACCCTATCAAAGAGAAGAGGTTGAATTAACTACCAAATGCTCTTTACATTTGTCCAGATGGACATCCTTGAGTAGAACAGTTTCAACAGAGAGGTATTAGCATAAATACTCAGCAAGCTCAAAATGCCGGGATCTCAGCTGCACTTTAAAACCTTCACAACAAAGCAGGTTGAGAGGTGCGATTAAAGGCCCCCTCTTCTGTTTGGGGTGTGTTGATACTGGGTTTTGGAGACCATGAATGGCATCAATATGCTATAAAGCATCCCCATAAAAATATATTCAACATCAACATCACTACACACTTCAATTTACTGCCAGTTATTTAATGACATTGTAAAAAAATAACACTTACCTCAAAACTAGTGACAGCCAGTTGGGATAAACCATCTACATACGGTCCCAAAACTTTATGCTCTCGAACTTTCAGAGACTGCCTACTCCTTCAGGAGGAAGGGAAAAAGAATGATTGAATCAGACAAAACTTGGAGGCTCTTCTTTCTTTTTAAGTGCTCATAAACCAAGATGGCAGTTTCAAAAGAATTTTTTTTAATAATAAAACAATATCCTAAAAGCTACTTTATTTACATTAGCAAGACTGCATTTATTATGAGAAATGTCTTTTATACTCTGATTTCTATTTAAAGTAATTTACTATTTAAAAATTTCTGTCTCCACTCCCAAACTAAACAGCCGGCGCACAGAATACTAGGTTGGGCCAACTTGCTTTAGTAGATGAACTTCAGTTTTATACAGGAGGGGGAAAAAGAAAACAAAGAATATTCTGGGATTGAATTTAACAACTCAAGGCTATTTTATAAATAAGTACATTCTCAGTAAATAATATCTTAAAAGTTTGGACCAAGCAGTAAACAATATTGAAGTATCTTGTTTTATTTTTAATTTACTTTTTCAAGTCTGTACTGATTTACGCTGTTTCAATGCTCACAATTTCATACAGAAAGTGATATTACAGTTACTGATATTTATCCTGCCTTTAGAATTGGCTCTGATGGTGAAGATTTTAGGGCTCTTTTGAATTTTTAAATAGCAAACCTGGTTTGGTACCCACTTGAACAGTGTGTCAACAGATAATTGAGATGAAAAGCAAAGCAATACAGATTATGCTTGTATTGCACATGTCACCTTTTTCATGGCATCAGATATTACTCACCGCTCAAATCAAGAGTCAATGCTCAGCATCACTCAAGTGTGGAAAAAAGGACCTAAGAACCAGTGAGTGCTTCCCAAAGTCATGGCATTGCCCCCTAACACTTTTCAGTTATTCCACTTAATCTTACAACCCTACAAAATAGGTCTTACTAACTTTAAGTATCAACAATTCAACGTGACAATGAGCGATGATTCTGCTGTACTTTAAACAGGGGCCAGCCAAATGCACATCTTTATGAGAGCTACTTTGATGCACATGGATCCAGAACTCAGCTCGCTCAGCTTGCACAGCCAGAGAATCTTTAATGCTATTCATGACCAAGAGAAAGGAAATCTAGCACACTATCAGGTGCCGGTGATGGCGTCTAACGTCTAGAATTCTTGTACACTGCTGCCGGGACTGTGGAATGGTACAACCGCTTTGGAAAACAGTCTGGCAGTACCAAATAAAGTTAGAAGATTCAGTATCTTTTGACCTACAATCCCACGCCTCCATGTATTCCCTAGAAACTCCTGCATTTGTACACCAGGAGAACCATACCAGAAGGCTCAGAGCAGCACTGCAGTGGTAAAAAGTGACAACCACACAATGACAGAAGGTGGGATAAATAACTTATGGTATAGTCATACAGTGGAATACTAAAGAGGAGTGAAAATTAATGCATTATTACTTTATATATCAGAATGAATGAGTCATCACTGAGGGAAAAAAGAGCAAGTCACCAAAGGACACAAATAACTATGATGTCACACACGGTTAAAAACTATACAAAATTATGCATTAACTCTAAAGAGGAGGGAGATAATGAAAAACATAAAGTTCATAATAGTACTTATCTTGGGGAGGGGGAGGGAACAGAATGAGATTTAAGTGGAATACACAGGAAGCATTAAAAATATTGGTCATGCTCCATTTATTAAGGAATATGGTGAGCAGGGCAGTCTTAGATTTTATTCTTCTTTATACCTTATATGTATTATAAATGTTCTTCCATGTGCATTAAATAGTTCCTAACTTTAAAGTAAATGTAAACATTTTCTATACTTGAGTTATTTCTTTGCCACCCATAATTTTTAAAATATGTTTTTACTGATTTTATTTAAAATGTCTTTATTGATTTCAGAGAGAGGGAGAAGGAGAGAGACACATCAATGATGAGAGTCATGCATCGGCTGCCTCCTGCACGCCCCACACTGGGGATCGAGTCCGAAACCCAGGCATGTGGGCTGACCGGGAACTGAACAGCAATCTCCTGGATCGTACGTCGATGCTCAACCACTGAACCACACCGGCCAGACTGTTTTTATTGATTTTAAAGAGAGGAAGGGAGAAACAGGCTTTAGGAGCTGATGATTTCTCAGTAAATGAACTGAAACTAGAATAGTGACCAAGGGCTCAAATAAATATATTGACTTAGGATTTTAACTTTAGGATCATTTAAAATTGTTACCTCTAGTACATGCTTAATTTCATCCACTAACTTACCCTTTGGGGTCTAAAAGATCCCGAACTTTCTCATTATAAATTTCCATATAGGATACTTCAACTTTAAAGGTCTGTGACTCATTCTGCTCCAGAGAGATCCTTTTAAATAAAGCACAGCAGAGCCTTGGAATAAGGCCCAGCTGCTCAGCATTGCCCATCATGGAGAAGGATTTTCCTGAGCCTAGAGGAGAGCAAGCAGAAATAAAGGAGAAACAAGGGTGCAGAATGTAATGGTTCAACTGTACAAGTCTCCTTCATATATCAGCCAAAGTCACACCAAACCCGACCCTCAGACAAGGCTGCTGTTCTTCCCATCACACTCACAGCCTCTGGTTTCACTCTCCTTGTGAGACCGAGAGGGCGCCTCATTTACAGGTGGATGTGTACAAATATAACCACTGAAAATGGTATGTATAGTAAATAGCGCTATACATTATCAAGTAACATTAACCATATTTACCCCAAAATATTTTGTTTGTGAAAGTGCTTTGATATATATATTCTCTCATCTGAGTGTCCTAGTTGTCCTGCAATGTGACCAGACGCAGCACTGTTATGATTGATTGATTTATTCCAACATTATAGTTGAAATCATGGTGGCTCAAAGAGTTAATGGCTGAGACACCAGTATGTTTTTGTTTAGCTTGTTTCAACCAACTGTGCCACAGCCTAGGTTTAGTGAACCATCAGTCAGTTCTGCATCCTAGTGGAAGTCCTCTGTATAGGAAGACACCAAGAGTTTTTAAAAACAGTTTTTACTGTAACATTTATACTGAGAAACTAGTAGTTATTGTTCTAATACAAGCACAGGTTAAAGCTATAATTTAGGAAAATGACAGTTAATGGTCTGAAACTAGCTCTGCTCATTAACACTGAAATTACTCAATTACCAAAACTGTTAAATTGTCAAAAAGAGGGTTACATTTGATAATCTAATTCAGTTTCACCACAAAGGCAGAAGCATTTTCCTGCTGCTTCCCAAAGTGTTTTCCATTTCTATGTTCTAAGAAATGCACATTTAATATCATTGACTATAAATAAAAGGGATTTACCTGTCTGTCCATATGCAAAAATACAAGCATTGTAACCCTGAAAGGCTTTTTCAAGAATTCCTTCCCCAAGGCACTTGAAAACCACCTCTTGACCTGAAAAGACAAAAGAAAAAAAATGATGTTTTGACATATTTGTATTAATAACTGAGTCCCAGTTACCAGCATTCTCTAACTCCAAAAAGATGTTAAACGTGAATTATTGTATGCGTACTACGTGTAGGGCTATTAAGAGTTTCATGCATGCAATTTTATTTACTCTTCTTAACTATAGCTCAATACCTGGATCAATTTATGATTCTGCCCACTGCTTCCTTCTAAGGCATTCAAGTTTCCTTTCCACTGTTGGTAGGCCATATGGAAGCATCATTTAAACTTGGTTTCATTTCTTCTCATGAGTTAGCATTAAAATGTCATTAAACATGAGTTGCCTTATTTCCCCATCTGGATTCTGTGCTTCCAACGAGGAGGAACCACGCCATACACGTGTTGGTATATGCATGTATCTCTGCACCCAGCACGGGGCTAAATACCTGCCAGGTGCGGAGACGCTGTTCATTGCCGGCGGAGGTGATGTGTTGAGCACAGACACCTCTCACCAGTGTTCTCACGGGGGATTCAGGGACAAGTTCTCCTTGGTGAGCCTGTCTACAGCTTACAGCAGCTCCTGGGGAAGTTCTCTCATTCAGTATAAATACTACGGCAGCAACCGTAATATCCAGCTGAACAGTAAAAGATCTGAAAATCTTTTTAAACACTTAAGGTTCCATTTGCTACCCTCTGAAATTGGTGACTTTCCGACATTCATTCCCCATGACTAAGAGAACTAAAACATTCTCCTCTGCCGTGCTCTTATAGCCCTCAGAACATTCACTATTACAGCATTTGCAGGGACTACTGGTTTAAGCACCTCTTTCCTCCAATGGAATAAGACTCCTGATTGATGCCAGAAACTATAATCTGTTTATCTTTGTAATCCTGGTGCCTCGTACAAAATGCTTAATAAATATTTATTGAAAGAATAAGTCCACTTAACCTTTTTATCCTACATGACAATTCCTTTTACGTTTGGAAATAATATAACATGATAAAAGCTTTTGGATACGTGTTCTTTTATGCAAAGTTGGATCTGATTTTAGCCGTCCCTTGTTATGCTAGGACATACCACGGTTGCAGAATGGGACTCTTAAAAATGTGTAAACGTGAAACAAGCTATAATATTTTCAACCCTTAGACTGACAAAAATAAAATTTTGACAACATGAAATATAGCTGGATTGAGGAAATAGGTATTTTCATAAGCTGCTGGAAGAATAAACCAATGCAGTCATTCTGAAGGAAAACCTCACAGCACCCATGAAAGGGAATCTGCCCACATCCTCTGGCCCACTGTGAGGCATCTACCCTAGAGACACAGGGACCTTGTAAAGGATGCTCACTGCAGCATTATTTATAATACTGTAAGTTGGAATCAAGTTAAATGCCCATTTGTAAGATAAAATGTGACTATATGGTGTAATATTGCAAGTCATGTAAAAAAAACAAAACACCCACAAATATGTGTATAAACAATGCTAGAATTCAAAAACATTGTTGAGTGAAAAAAGTCATGTTAAGACTGTACAGTTAATGTAAAATCTTATGTCAAATAGTGTGTGTGTGTGTGTGTGTGTGTGTGTGAGAGAGAGAGAGAGAGAGAGAGAGAGAGAGAGAGAGAGAAAGAGAGAGAGAGAGATCTATGGTTACTAAAGTAAAAAATATGGATTGGAAGAAAATTTCCCAAATTTATATAACCATATTTCTCTACTTCCAACTTCTAACAACTAGCACAAAACCTGGTACCAAAGAAGAATTCAAAACATGCTGGTGGATCTAAAAACTTAATAAACTGATGGAAAGAAATAATTCAATGACATGGAAGTATGGATCAGACTGACAAATGTCAGAGGAATGGAGGGGGGCGGGTGGGTGGAGGGGGAGAGAGTAACCAAAGAATTTATATGCATAGATGCACAACCCAAGGACACGGACAATGGTGTGGTGAGGAACTAGGGAGGGGGGTGGGGTGAGGTGGGGTGAAACGGGTCAATGGGGAGAAAATGGGACATCTGTAATATTTTGAACAAAAATTTAAAAATAAATTTAAAAAAAATTTTAAAAACATGCTGGCAGAATATGTGGATTTTTTTTTTTTTTAAGTACAACTGTAAGAGGTTTGCTAAACACACAGGTTTGTTGAACAGACTACCTAAACATATGTGTGTGCACACATACTATACTCTGAAGAGAATAAAGTATTGTCAAAATTACTATCTACTAAACACTTTTAAAACTGATTTTGTTAGTGTTGTGCTTACAAAGAACATATTTGACCCACCCTGTTGCTGATCTTTCATACACACCAATATTTTTTTCTCATACATTCTCTCAAAGGACCTTCCCTTATTCCACAGGCACTCCCAAGGCCCATGCCAAGAGGCCGGCCTTAAATCTGGAGCTGAGCCCCGTAGTGTAGAAGATCTGGAACTAAACAGCCGGTGCTCAGGCCTGTGAGAATTGATCGTGGTCCTAAGCCAGACAAGCGCCATGTGCAGGCATTCTAAAAGCACCGCTTCCTTGGCACACGCAGATGAATGGAGCAATCCCACCCAAGCATCCACACTGGCTAACTAGCCCCAAGGAAGGGAGTGGGGTGAGGGTAGGGACAAGACACTTTAGATTTGGCAAGGTCAAATCTTGACCGTAACTCATTTCAATTCATATTTAGTAACTTGAAAGCAAGCCAGGGCTCGAGTTGATGAAAGGACTCAACTGCAGAGAACTGTGGTCAAAGAGCTTAAGCCACGGCTGCAGAGCTGGGCGTCATTAACCAATCAAGAACTGATCCATTAGGTGGTGAAGTGTAATACTTCTCGTTTCTGATGCCCAGAGGCTAGAAGGGTGAGGAATTATTTTCTTGATCTTCTTTCAAGGGCAAATCACAACCTTTTTTGTCCTTGGTAGGAATGGAATGGCCTTTTAAACTAAAGATCATTAGTTGGGAGGGGAGAGGAAGAATGCTATAGAACTACATGAAATAGGGTTTGCGATATGTCAAGTGAAAATAAAAAACAACTCAGGATGTGTATGCTAAAATTGCATGAAAAATAAACCAAATGACCGAAGAATTCTCCAGGATATAAAAATATAAGAACAAACTTCAGTTTAGCCTATGTCCAAATTATTGTAAATATTAAACAGGATGTGAATTAACCTACTTAATTTGTATAATGTTATCATTTATGCTGCTAAGAAAGAGAATTAATTTTTATCAACTGTCCTGTTTGTAATGCACTTTACATATTTTATATCACTGAATCCTTGCAACGCCCCGGTTGAGCAGGTGTGGACTGTGATGGATGAGGGCACTGGGGCTCTGAAAGAGTAAGCTCCTTTGAAAACAGGAGTTGCTGCATCTTAGCAGAGTGCCTGGCACAGAGTAGGCACTCTCACTGAATTATTTGTGTTGACCTTGCTGTAAAGACTAACGTGTATTTAATTGGGGGCCCCTTTTCTCATTAGTGATGACTGAGGTATCAAAATATTGTGCTGAACTTAAAAAGAAATATTTAATTGTATTAGAGGTTACACTTTAGTCAAAGTATGGCTGTTTTTGAAATTCTAATGAGCCCCTGAAGACCATAATAACCTTTGCTAACAATAAGGCACTGGAGTGTGAATAAACATGTCGACATGATATGTACCTACTAATTGGATAATTGTAATTAAAAAATCACAGACTACACTTTTGCTGACATACACAGTAACCTTCTGAACCCTGAAACAAAACATATGACTGAAAAAAAACAAATCTCTCTGATTTTCACTGAATATATACATATGTTTTCTAAAAAGTCAAATTCTTTGAGTTAGATCTTTACAGTTACAGTTGAGAGAATATAATTCATGTTTATCATATTTAATAAAGGGTTAGACAAAGGAGGGAAATTTCTAGAAAACACAAAATGGACTATGAAAAAGTAGAAAACAAGAATTCTGCGTTTCTGGAAAGATTTGTTTTCCTTTCCACCCTTAAATAACTATCTTGAAGCACAATTTATAAAAGGATAAATACAAGGAACTATTGTAAAGTTCATGTATTTTTACAAATGTACGGCAAGGCTGGATTCTAGACTGGAATACATTTTATATGGCTTCATGTCTCAAGGGAAATTTATTCTCCTTAAAGACAAGAAATAATGAACGCTTTCCCACCTCTGCGAAGATACATCAACACTAGCGCGTTTTATAGCCGCTTAGCTTTCCGTGGTTTTCTTCACTGATACAAACAGTTCTCTTTTATGGATATTTAGATGATTTCCTTTTTCTTTTTCTGCAACGTCCTTACGTAATTACCTTTGTGCACTTTCTAGTGACTTCACTAGGCAAAACTCCAAAAACTAAAATTACTAAGTACTCTCAGTACTGTAGGAGTCCTTTTTTCTACACCCTCAACAACACTAGCTATCAGCTTCCCTGCTTTGACTAGGTCAACAGAAAAAAACCCCTCCTGTTTCGTTAGATTAAAATTTCCCTTTTCGTAGTTTACTGCCCCCTTATATTCATTCTTTAATAAAATGGTTATTTGGGTCCTATGTTTATTTTTATAAATAAATTGGTTTCATCCTTGATTTTTTAACTCATTAATTTTAAACTGCCCATCATACAGAAAGGATATTAACCGCTGGCCTATCAATATGTTATAAATATTTTCCCCCAGTCTGTCATTTACCTTTCGGTCTTATGTTGTTGTCAGACAAAGACTTTTGGTCTTTCATATTCAAACCTTTCCTCTTTTCCTTTGTAATTTTCACCTTGGTATATGTGATGCTTCCAAAATCCTTTTGATTATTCCAAATTATATAGGTACTGATCCATATTTTCTTCCAGTTTTGTTGTTTTTTTACCATTTTATTTCAAACTCTACTTTTTACCAGCTGTGTAACCTTGGGCAAGTTTTTTAGTTTCTTCATGAGTAAAACATGAATAATAGCTGCGACCTACTGGGTTGCTGCATGATTTAATAAGGCAACGCAGGTAAAGCCCCTACCGTAGTAC